TTTTATAATTAAGTTGTAAGACATACGCATGTTTTGTTAGCATATAGCAACCTATCTTAGTTTGAATTCTTTGAGACTAGTCATGCGTGGTTTTACTAGAGTTAGTTGGTTTAGATGAAAGCCCTTTCTAGGCAAAGTCGTACATCCATTATATTTATGTTTGTTTATTTTATTTTCCTTTAGAATAGGTTTCAAGGTTTCAATACTTTCAATGAGTCCCTTCTTCAATCTTAGTATTCAGATGATGTTCATCTAGTTTTGATATGAATTCTCACTTCTTAAGCTTTTTACGATTATATATCGTGTGATATAAATACTAAAATTTTTAATAAAATGTCAAATCAAACATTAAATAAATCTTTTTTCAAAATCGGTAAATTAAAACATAGAATAATTAAGATGTCACTAAGCTTTATCAGTATCTTCGTTGTCTTCTACATTTCTTCCTTTGATTTCTGTGGATAACTTTTTTCACTTTTGATATTTACCATTTAGTATTTTGATAATATTTCATGGAAACTAAACATAGAAATTTCTTGAGAATTAAACCCAACCTTAATTGAGAGTTTTCTTAGGAAAGTTTGGTTGCTTAAGATTTAATTAACATTAACGGCATGCTCTTACAGAAAGTTTGAACCCTTGATTAATTTAAACCCTATCTTGTCTTTGAAATAGATGAGGAAAAACTTTATTTGTTTCATCTTATATCTTAAGAATATCCAAAATCTCTTTGTTAAGTAATGCACAAAGCATAATAAGTTCCTTCAAAATATCGAAAAGATTGTAAAAGTGTTCGGGACATAGCTCTAAACAATTTTTAAAGTCTTATGAATCATTTCGAGTTCATTAGAACTTATTATGTTATTAAAGTAATCATGTGAAACTAAATTAAGATTCAATAGTGATATTTTAACCTGTGCTCAATGAATCTTGATGATTTAATTTTCTCATGCATGGGGTAAGTAGGTATTCACTTGATGTTCTACTTAGGAATTATGTGAGTGGATGCCGTTAAGGGTAAGCTAAATTATTAAGGACCTTGTGCTCGGGCTTGTAGTACTTTTAAGATATTCATGATTGATTATGTTTCCTTTTCTAAACCTCATTAAGCAAATTCAAATCATGTCTAGTTCACTACCAAGCCCTTAAGTTTTCCTTCATGAATAAACTTGTAGTAAACAATAATATCGGATTAAATGGATTTAATTCTTATAGAAAGATCATGTTTATCAACTAATCACCGCTTAGGGGCTTCAAATGATTAAATTATCATCTTCCTAGCTCAAGCCCACTACCTTGGGATTATCTAATTGAATCAACTTTCAAGTCATAATAATTTAGGAAAGTTACAATTTTGCCTTTGTAGTAGGAAAAGTGTTGAGTTGATTTCTACCTCATAAACCCTTATGTTTCAAATATCTAAGAGAGTTCATCATGATCAATATTACTCATTTACCCTTTGACTTACCTAAATTTATTGTTTGGCGCTTCAATTCCAAAATTATCATTTTGTTCTTAAGTCTTTCCACTTCATAATTCCTTAAATTAAACTCAAATGACTTTGAAACTTTTTTGATACATCATTCAAAGGTTAATTAAAATAACAGAGGACTTATATTTTTCTAATTTTTATTTAGTTTTTAATAATTATTTTTTACACAAAAATAGGGATTTTTAATGTTAATTCATTTAGTTGATCAAAACAAATTCTCTATTCCTAAGAAAATTATTTGAGGTTCACCTAGATCTGAAGAACTCTAAGAACAATTTTCATAATTTTTTGAGTTTTATTTTAATTATTATATTTATTTGCTAATTTTGGTGATTAATTAAATTAAAAATATACTTTAATCTTAAAAATAATTTTTTATATTTTCGTTAGTTCCTCTGAGTTTATAAAACTCAGAGAAATAAATATTACATTTTTAATTTTTATTTAATTTATTGTAATAATTTTAATGCAAAATTAAAGAAAATACATTTTAGGCATTTAAAAATATATAGCTATTTTAAGAAAATTAAAATTAAGTATTTTAAGTGGTCCTAAGTGATCAGGGAATAATTTATGATATTTTGCTTCATTTTTGTATTTTCATAATTATTAATTATTTTTAATTATTTTTAAATTGAAAAATAGCTCAAAAATAAATTTTTAAGTTTAACATCAATTTTATTTTTCTTATGTTTCTATTTTTCTTATGTTTCCTTGGTTACGAGGAATACTCCAAACTACTTTTCATAATTTTCTAAATTATATTTTATTTATTATAATTATTTAAGTGCAAAAATCTCATTACTTAG